CCTCTTCACCTCTACAAGGCTCTATTGATGGCCCAGGTTAAAACAGTAATGCTGCATGCACATGCCAGAAAAAAGTTGACGCAAAGATTATGGGGAGTGTTTGGTTTACTGGAAAAAACAGGCCTGGGGGTATAGTGTACTGGCCTTGTGTACAGTACAAATTGCACTGTAGGTCTGTGGTCATTAAGGTTTTACCGTAAGTGAGAAAAAAAGGCAGGATACTTAGACATGTACCACTTAATAACCCTCAGCAGCCTTCCCCTAACCTGTTCTCTTTCCGCTTCAGGAGCAAGCTCTCCATGCTGTCCACAGTATCGTCATGCTGATGGATAAAGACACTTGTCAGCGTCCTGAAAAACAGCCTGGTCTGCAGGTCAGACATCAAAACATTTCATTTCCCTATTCAGTATAAAAGTGTCACTCTTATTCACAAAGTGTTTGCCTTTGTCTCTTAGATGGATTTGGTGACCACTATGAAAGCCCTAAACAAGACGGTGGAAGCTTCCCAACTAACCTCTGATTTTGGAGGTACCTTCACTTACAGTCACACCGAGTGGCTGCAGTTCCATCAGGTACTAAAAATGCACGCTAAGTCTACACAACTGCTCTACTGGTGGTATTGAATCCTAACTACTTCACTCTGAAAACCCATGGAGTGGTCTCTGGTGACTAAAGTTGCTCAACCATAATTCAACACAGTTAAAATTAGGCTCCCACCCAGCCAACCACCCGGAGCATGCATGATATCTGATATGCTATACTTTGAGTGCAGGAAGGGTGTGGGCACATGGGAAAGGGCAAAGTCTAATCTGAATGATGAATTTGATTATTTATTATAATGTTAATTGCTCACATTAAGTAGGGGCTGATATTTTATCCTGGTTACGGATAAAACTCAACACTGAGTCTCAAGGCCATTCTGCTTTAACACACAGATCAGTTACTTTGTGTAGCATATACAATACCATAAATTAAATAATATTTAACTGTACTAGTGTGCAAATGAGGGGAAGGAGGAGTATGCCAGCCCAAGAAGAAGAAAATAAAGAATTTAACTGCCTGTAGACAGCTATAGATATTTTTTTAAATACAGTTATTTTTAAACCATTTATATTTCTTAATATATCTAATTCTTAAAGCAAATTGAATGTTAAAGTAATACAGCATTTAACCACAATGTGGACTAGTAAATACAGTAAAACATATTCAATATTTGTTTTAGATCAGTAAGCTCCCGACAGCTTAAAGTTTCTTATATAAGTAGAAAAATTATTATAATGCGAGATATTAGACTTGATGCCCTAGTCATGTACCCTACAGTAATATTGTACGGATAGTTGAAAGCATCTAAAGTAACCAGCAGCACACTGATAATGGTGTCTGCAGATTTTTAAAAAATTAACTCAGTTTGTCTCCTTTTGCTTCCACACGGCGTTGCCTCTTCCACAAAGCTCCTCAGTTCAATACAATTGAACATGTTTTATTTCAGAGGCTGGTTTCATTTATGACTGACCTGCGAGGAGCTGACAGTTTGTTGCAAAAGGCCATTAAGAGGGTGGATAACAGAAACCAAATGGACACAGCTCAGGTAACATATATATATATTTATACTGTATTGTTATTAAATTGGTGTATGCACCACACGCTTATATTTTGGCTTTGTATTTTGCATAAAACAGGAAGTGCAGCAATGCATTGAAGAACAGAGGATTTCAATGAAAGAAATGCTGGAAGATGCTAGACTGGTGACTTTGCAAAGGGAAGGAGGGGCTTTTCTGGCCAGGATGAAGAAAGAAGAGTTCAGATTTCCACAGTCTGAGGACTACAGGTGTCAGATATGATTTGTCACTGAATGATATTCTTCTTTTTTTAACTTGTATTAATCTATATAACATGCTATAGAGAATCTAAGGGCTGTTTTATTTGCACTTGCCATACTTGGCAAATTTATGTGCACATTGCATTTGGAAGGGTAATGGGTGAAGCCATCCTGGGAATCACCAAACTTTACTAATCGGAATGATAACATGTAGGATTTCTCCTCCCTAATGGGAAAAAAACGACATGCATGTGAGGTAGAAGTCAATTAATGACCATTTTTAGATGCCTACACAGTCCTGGGAATATCTCTACTGTAATTATTCCAGCTAAGTGAAAACAAAAAACTGCTGGCTGCATGGCTGTGTGGGTGGCTGCAAAATGTTGTTTATATTAAATATTAACAACTAAGTTTCATTTGTTTTACTTACCAGCAGGAAGCATAGTAAGTTATCCATGAAATGTTACCATAAATCATAGAATAACGACTATTAAACATATTTATTTTAATTGCTTTTTGCCTTGTTAAAAAAATTAAAAAGAACACACCCCAGTAAAAACTGCATGAATCTTATTTGTGGTTTTAAACTAGAATTAAAGAGCAAACAGATTTTATTTGTCTTAACTTAAAGGCCCAAAAAGAGATGTGCAGCTACCACTAAACTCGTAAAAAATAGCTGTGGCAAAACAGGATTATTGTGTTTTAAAATACTTTTTAGTTTGGAAATTTTTTATAGCGTGCTTCTTTTATACGAACAAATTCCAAAAATCTGGTGATTTTGAAAATCTCATAAAGTCATATTTTATTCGCAAGAGAACACAGAAAACATGAAATGTTTGAACTGAGATGGATATTGAGCATTTTGAATTGAATAGCAGTGACCCATCTAACACAAACAAAAAAGCAAACGTTGAGACAGCACATCTATA